CCCGCGGATGACCCCGTCCTGCCCCCGCCCAAGCGCAAGTCTAGGTTCAAGGCTGTTGTGTGGCGCGTTGTGTGGCGCGCGGCGTTGTTTGCCATATTGTTGGCCATGCTGACTGTGGGCGGCCGGCGGCTCTTGCTGCCTGCGGGGCCCCTCGCGAGAGGTCCTCCCCTCATCTCGAATCCCAAAGAGGTACAGACATACGAGAAGGCTCTCAGCAGCGCGGCCAGCGAACTGAAGCGGCTTTGGGAGAGAGTGTCGCCGGAAGTCAGACAGTCTTTCTACACTCACTACACCCCAAGGGTCTATGGCTCCTCTTCCCTCACGTCGCCTCTGGAGTTGTTTGAGCGCCAGGTGTCGCGGGTCTTTGAGAGAATGCGCCCACCGCTGGGGGCATCCTCTCAACAGTACGGGGTGTACGTACAGCAACTGCAGATAGCGCGGGTGATTTTAAAGGCAGCGTGGACGCGACTTTCTCAGTTGCAGGCCCTGGAGGAGTTTGTCGTCTCCAGAAAAGGCGGCGAAGAAGACCGCTACTCTTTCCAGACCCCCGTGTTGCCTGGGGGAGGCATGGGCTCCGCAGGCGAAGAATTGTTGAGCTTTCGCGACTTTCTCGATCTCCTGGGTTCTAGGAAAGGTGCTGTTCCTGCTTACCCAGACGCCACTGCAAGGCGACCAACAGTCCCCTTGGCTCTTGCTCAGGGCCTGGCGAGGGCGCTGCAGATGCTGGAGTTTCAGGCGGAGATGGACGCGAAGGTCCACAGGGCGTTCCACGAGCTGTTGCTGGTGACGGGCACGCCGCTGCCGTGCGGGCCCCTGCAACCTTTGGAAGAGTTTGCGAAGGAGGGGCCTCTCTATGTTGAGCCCCGGCGCCCCTTCTTCCCTGCCTCATTCTTTTCTTATCTCCTCGCGGCATTTAGCAGAGAGTCCAGCACCCAACTTATCTCAGACGACGCCTTGTCTACCTGGGCGTACCAGTGGACCTATGAAGGCGCCGCCCAGCGGCTCGCGGAACTCGGGGAACGCATGAACAGCAACTTCGCTGCTGTTGCTGCAGTTAAGGTTTCGCTGGTCAGCCGCTGGGCCGTCCAGCAGCCCCACGACCCCGCAGCCACCACGGACTTAACCTGTCTCGCGTTCTCGCTCCTCTAGCTGCCAGCTACAGCCCTCTGCAGCTGCAAAGCCTCTCCTGGCCGCTAAAAAGCACCCACACGGCACCCGACAACCCGAGCCTGCTGGTTGGGCCCGTTTTTTTGTTGTGTTAACCGCTGGGCGGCGCTCCTGTGGAATTTCCCTCGCCTCTTTCTGTGACCCGACTCAGGTGAATAGGGCTTGAGGTCCGTCGGGAAACATTTGGAAATGAGGTGTCTGTGCAGGTGTGGCGCTACATCCCTAGAAACTAAACCACTGGAAATGGGAAACAGAGTGGGCTACACAGTTGAACGCGCCCTTCTGCTCTGCAGCGATTTGACTTCAGTGCTTCATTTGTCATTAGCAAGGCCGCACGGCGGAGGACGATGTCAGCAAGTGAAACCCTTCGTGCATGCATACGCGCATGCATGTATGCAATGCTTCCTGCTGCATTGGATGCGCAGCAGCGGGCACGGCTTTAGGAAGCCCCCGGCTTGTTGCTGACAGGCCCGCCCTCCCCTGTTTGGGGGCCCGTCGCCAGGTGTCTTTCAGTGTGCGTTTTCTACAGCAATACGATTTGAAAGAGGGTTTCAATGAAACCTAATTTTCTCTTTTTAGGCCGTTCTCTCTCCTCTTGACTTTAGGCAAAGACACTAAGCCTCANATGAAACCTAATTTTCTCTTTTTAGGCCGTTCTCTCTCCTCTTGACTTTAGGCAAAGACACTAAGCCTCATCTGCCACCGCCCCCTCGACTGGCCTTCCTTCTAGGTAGCGATACAACACCACTGGCAGCAATACAACGAGGGTGTACACAAGGCACTGGCGCCCTGTTGCGGTGTGGTGCTGCGGAGACCCAACGCAACGAGGGCCTTTCAACTGCCGCACAGTAAGAGCAAGGTTTAGCGTTTTAGGGACCACATGCTAACGCCTGCAGAAGCAGGAAGCTGACGTTTCTCCATTCACCCGCCTCTAGACGCAGACAACGGATGCAGTATCGCGGGTACTCGATCTTAGACAAAGGCCGTTGCGAGCTACGCGGGAGACGAGAGGCTAAACGTGGGTTCCAAGGAACAGGAGATGTTCTCCACTGTTGGAGTCGCAGCAATGTATGGTTTTTCACGAATCCTCGACCTTAGCAGAGGACTGTCGTGAGCTGAAAAAGGGTCAAAAGCCTAACATTAAGAGCTCATAAAACAATTGATAGCCCTCGCCTCTAGTACTGTCCTGGGCACAGCGTTACAGCGAACTGGGGCCGACGGTGGAGAGAAGACGCGGACTGTCATGCTTTGTATCTCACCTTGCTGGAACTCCTGCAGCAAGGCGAACCCTCATGCATGTGTACATGGTCCGTCTATTGAATGCGTGCAAGAAAGATGTAGAGAGTTGTTTAACAGTCAGGCGGCCCTTAGTAGCCAACCTGCACTGCCAACTACTGCGTTACAAATGCAGTGTTTCTCTGGCCCATATGAAACCCCAGAATTTCTGTTTTTCTTGTTTCGGTTCGGAACACACCGAGCTCTTTTAGTTGTTCTAATTAAAAGTCGCATTTCAGAGGTAGGAAACATCCTCTCCTAATCACCACACTAATCCGGTTCGCATCAAATTGAACTCAGTGTGAAACCTTTCATTGATTTCCTAGCTCTGATGCAGACCAGAACTAAGTCTTAGAGAAACTCCGAAGTAATGGATCTTTGCCCGAGCTGCCTCACAGCCCCAAGGCGTTGCATGCACCGGCAATGGCAATTTGGGGTTTTCTCTCTTTACCCTTCCCTCTGCCTCTTCTTCTGTCCTCACTTATCTCATCTGAAGCCCAAATAGACTGAAGATCTCCTCCATGCATAGCAGCTACCGGCGGCGGCGGAGCAGCAGGACGGGGGCCCCCTGGAGCCTTCAATGCCTAGCTTAGCAGAGGCTTGTCTTCTGCGTAAATTGCTGCCGCCCTTTTGTTTAATTTTTCCGTTTTAATAACCCCGCTGGCGAAGGAGGAGACATCCGAACTTCCCAGCCCGCGCAGCGTGGGGGGCCCCACACCCACGAGCAGTTGCCTGCATCGGGGGCCACACGCTGCTGAACGTCACAATGAATTTCTGCCTTCCAACGGTAGATGGCTATCTCTTGCAGCAGCAACAGGCCCTCAGGCATCCCCAAGAGCAGGGTGTAGCCCCGGGGGAGCCTCAGAATGCAGCAGAAGACGCTGCGACATCTGGTGGCCCTTTGGCTGCTCAGCTGCCTCCCCCCAACAGCTTGAAGGCTCTTCTACACCAAATAGCGGGNCTGGTGGCCCTTTGGCTGCTCAGCTGCCTCCCCCCAACAGCTTGAAGGCTCTTCTACACCAAATAGCGGGTGTTGCTGCTGCTGCTCAACGGATCCCTGTGGGCGACGACTACACTATAAGGACCTCCACCAGCAGCAGCGCGAGGAGGGCCACAGAAGCAGCAGCGGCAGACACCCTTCGCATCCTCTTGGAGCTTGCCGCAGGTTGCTCGGGGGGAGCCTCATCTCTGAGTGCTCTGAGGAAGGCGGAGGCCCTTCATCGTTCTCTTGCTGCCAGTTCAGGGCCCTCCAACGGCGCCTCTAACAGCAGCATCAGCAGCAACAGCGTGCTGCTGCATCAAGACGGGCAGCAAATTCATGAGGGAGTCGGGGCGGGCGTCCAGGGGCTACTGGACGAACTGCTCGAAGCTGTTGACGTCTCCTTGGAGGCTCACCGGCGCAACCCCCAAAAGAAGATCCGCACGCGACTGTCCCAAGAGCAGGACCAGGGGCAGGATGACCAGCAGAAAAAGGTGCAGCAAGGGCAGCGACAGGATGCAGAAATATTGGCTGCTAAGGGTCCCAGCTCGCAGCACCGGTCTAGACGCGCCTTGCCTCTGCCTGGTTTGCTGGCAGTGCTCGAGGGCCGCCCTCAGAGCCACTGGGCATACCTAATAAACAATAACAGCAGACGCTTTGTCCCTCGGCTGCAGCAGAAACCTCATAA